GCAGTTTGTCTCTGGTCATGGCATCAAATGGTTTGGTAAACTTTTTATGTGGCCCATACATCAGGCACAAGGCTGGTTTCTTAAAATTCATCTAGTTTCAGCTTATAGGGCTTTTGGAACAGGACAGTTTTCCATTCATAGTAATTCCATGGAAGAAGGTTGGATTGGAGGAACATAGAATAATTCGGGATGTGGTCTAGCTACAGACAGATAACAAGAACTTGGACAACAACTGAGTGCAAATGCTTTTTGAGTAGAATCCAAAAAACTTAGAATAGCCGTGGTTAAAAATCTGATAAAAGTTCACAATCGACAAGAAAATTTAGTTGTTTCCATTACCTGCAGGAATTTAAGATATCAACCATAATCATGACTGATAGCATCATATCACAAGTATCGGACTTATAAATTTCATATAATGTTTAGAATACTCACATCAATAACATAGCCATATAAGTAAAACTTTAAAGAAGTTTTAACATAACAACCCAAATTATGACTGATAGTATATTAGATTTTGTTATATAATTTTTAGAACATTCCTATCAATAGCCTACCCACAAATGTGACTAAAAGAAGATGTAGCCTCACTTCTCATTTGACAATCCTTGTCATATAATTTACCAAATAAGCCTAATCATTTAATATCTCTATAAATTAAAAGATATCTTCTTTGATATTCTCCAGGGGCCCAACTGGAAAATCTCAAAGTTAATTGCAGTTCAAAAAGACTTAATCAGAATTTTGATCCAAGAGAAGCCCACCAAAAATGTCAAGAGATTCAAAGCCCTAGATCAAAATAGAATCATAGGTCACTGTTAAATAATAGTCATTCATTTAACTCGAGTGATTATCAGGAAACTTCAAAAGCAATACAGAAAGTTACAAAGATTTTAAAACCTTAACCTGTTCAAAGCTCAGTTTTCTTAAGTAATCGAAAATTTAATAAAGACAACACAGAAAATTATCTTGGTAAAATATAAATATATAAATTGTTTGTCTTTTAGGTCAATTACCAAAAGGTAAAAAAAGAAATCTCCTGCAATGTAATTGCTTCTTCTCATGGAAAGCCCGTTCAGTCTGGAAACTGAACCTGATGAAAGGGTCCTGAAATTCAATTAGAAATAAAATAATATATCCAAGGGTTATGAGTGTACACTCATAGAATAGTATAAACAACAAGACTAGTACCTTGAGCAGAGGAATACAGAGCTCTTAGATAAAGTAAAAATGTGTGAAGTTTCTTGGTAGCATGGAACAATTCACACATACCAAGAAAAGCCAAGAATACGTAATCTAGTTATATTGGAGGAAAACATTGCTTTTCTTGGCCTTCAAGATAAACATTATAGTGCCAGGCCATAAAAGCCGAGTTAGAACTGGAGGAAAAATGTTAGAGCAGCTGATGAAAAAGTTGGAGAAGAGAGTTATCACCTCAGCCAACCAAAAAGCTGCAACTTTTCGAAGGAAGAGAGTAGGAGCGCTGCAGGCTATGGTGTATGGCCTGCAAACCATGTGCAGTGGGACGCAGCAGAAACTGAACTTCTGAAATAAGAATCTGAGGAAGACCCTACCTTAATAAATAAAATTACCATTCTTCATGAAAAAGATTACATTCCTTACCTGAAACTGGGGAAATTAAATGGATCTCAGGAAAAAATGTGCCAGAAATAGAAACTGACTGCAGTTTAGAAGATGGCTGTTAAAGAAAACAGAAGTCAGAATTAAAAATCACAACCTCTTGCAATGTTACTAATAGCAAATCAATATTTCAAGAAAACTTTGGTATTCTAACATAGGAGACCAATTTTTTAGTTTAGTATTACTGTATTTTTAATACCAGAGCTCAATCTTTATGAAGACTTATACATAATTTTATTCTGATTATTACCAAGTCAATTACATGCAAAAATTTTTTCATCAATTTACCTGCCATGAATATTTTTGTTTTTGTTGCATTTGGTTTTGGGTTCTTGGTCATGAAGTCTTTGCCTAAACCAGTATCTAGAAGGGTTTTTCTGATGTCATCTGCTAGAATTTTTACAGTTTCAGGTCTTAGATTTAAGTCTTTGACTCATCTTGAGTTGATTTTTGTATAAGGTGAGAGATGAGGATCCAGTTTTATTCTTCCACATGGTGGCTTGCCAGTTATCCTAGCACCATTTGTTGAATAGGTTGTCCTTTCCCCACTTTATGCTTTCGTTTGCTTTGTCAAAGATCAGATGGCTGTATGTAAGTATTCGTGTTTATTTCTGGATTCTCTATTCTGTTCCATTGGTCTATGTGCCTACTTTTATACCAGTACCATGCTATTTTGGTGACTATAGCCATGTGTATAGTTTGAAGTTGGGTAATGCGATGCCTCCAGATTTGTTCTTTTTCCTTAGTCTTGCTTTGGCTATGTGGGCTTTTTAGGTTCCACATGAATTACTGACACACGGAACCAAACCAAAATCATTGTTCACAGGGATTTTAACCCAGGTGTGCAGATCAAACAAATATTTAATTAGGCATGCAGAACTGAAAGTGAATTTGCCAGAAAAGACATGCCTCACAAACAAATGTAAATTATGTAGAAACAAGGGTGCTCAAATCAGAAAAACATTTGTCATTATACCAGAAAGAATTTACCAGAAAAGACAAAAAATTGTTATTTCAGGAGGGATGTAAGGTCTTTGACTTATCCAAATCAGATGCTGAATGAAGTCAAGAGCTTCTACCCAAAAGTAGGAGGCTCAGCCTGAAAGAAGACCCTCCAGGACAGAAAAGGCAAGCACAGAAACAGAGAGCTCCAAGGGCTCAAGTGAGGACTGCACACCAGTTCCAAGAATGGCTGATTTCTTCCAATAGTGGTCCTACTCCAGGTCCTACGTCTGGACACCATTTATGTCAACCTGAACAACAGAGTTTCTCTCTAAAAGAAAACAGTACTTATTCAGGAACAGTGCCCGGCACTGGGAATATGTGTGCCATGGTAATGTGCATAATCAGGGAGGTAACAGAAGACAAAGGCTTTTAAAGGAGAAATGAAGATTAGGGAATTGTTTTGAGATCATTACCCTTGTCTAAACAGATCAATAGCAAGGGTGACACTAGTCCAAGGCTGGACAGGCAGTTCTTGGGAACATGTTCCTGTGGAAGTATTTTTTGTGTTAAGTTTGCAATGGCTTTTGTGCAAGGTTGTGGTTTTTGCAAAGTCTTTTGTGATAGTTTTTGTTACCAGACATATAGGCATAAAAACCCTCTATTTGCAGCCTTTCTTAGCCCTGTTTGTCATGGACTTTAATTTTTTTTTTTTTAAATACAAATGACTCCATTTTTAGTTCTGACAACTTTCCTGTATGGATGGAGAACTAGAGAGAAGCATGATGGAAGAGCCTGCCCAGGGCCATACAGTTCATGTTGCAGCGCAGGAAAGCAGACCCAGGAGATCTGCCTGCCCTACCAGAGCCTTCTGCCTCCCTGTGATGGCAGCTGCTGGGAAAGGGGGTACCCAGCCTACCTCCATGAAGAGCATTCAGCTGCCTCCTCTGTGGGCCTGTGGCTGCACTGGCTTCCCACCCTGGAGGTTACCGTCTACCTCTCCATACACAGGCCAGCACCGACGTCTCGCAGCGGGGAGCCCTTGCCACAGCTCTGGGCACCTGTGTAGATGGCCATTCTGCTCCTGGTTGATGGCTTGTCCAGGAGTAAAAAGCTTGTTTTCAAAAATAATTGAGAACAGCCTTTAAACCTATTTTCACTATTAGGAAGATATCCCCTGAAAATGTCCCTGGAGTGTTGGCCACTACTGAACACGCCTCCCCTGCACCCCCCACTAGATGGCAGCGTGTCTTCCCTGGCGACTGATGCCAGCCTGGAGGTGCAGGTCAGGGAGAGACTTCCCTCTGTCCTGCATCTGTCCCTGTGGGGAAGCAGGGGCAGAGCCTGGTTCTGGCTTCTGGAAGCGCCTGGATACGATTTTTGTCAACCAAAATAACAAACAGAGAGAGTGTCTCTAAACAGAAATGCTCTTTATTCAGGAACAGGGCATGGAAAACACATGCCAGAGTAAACTATGTGCATATTTAGGGAGGTGAAAAAAAAACAGAGAAAGGTTTTCAAAAGAAAATGAGGAGGATGCCATAATTGTTTTGAAATCATCCTTGGCAAAAAGGTCGATACCACGGGTTCTGCCAGTCCTAGGTTGCCAGGCAGTTGCTGAGCCCTGGGAAGCCGGAGTCCTGGCAGCCGAGCCCAGTGGGTAGAGAGCTGGATCAAGGCCAGCAGGCAGATGCCCACGCCCTCCCCCACACTTCAGGAGGCATGAAAAGGGTGTGGGCTCAGGAGTGAGAAGGTTCCATGTCTACACATTACCGAACTCTCCTGAGCCCACCACGCTCCCACAAAAATGAATAAATAAATATATAAATAAATAAACATTGGGAAAGAAAATTACAGACTTAAAACAAACAAACAAAACCAGTCCCCTCTTCAGGCTTCCCCTTTTTGGTAAATGGTGTCACTGTCCAGCCGGTTGTTCTGGTCAAACACTCAAATGTCATCTTTGACTCCTCCGAGCTTCCTCTTCACATCCATCCCACCAGCAAGTCCTGTTGCCTCCATGTGCAAAATATATCCTGGATCTGCCCAACCTGGACAGATTCACTGCACAAAAAATAAAACCCTTTCCAGGGCCCATGAGGCCCTGCCCCCTGTTCTGGGTCACCTCTTTCCCTCCTTGACAAAGTCAGCGAGTCACTGCCCAGGGCATTGGCACATGATCTTTGCCTGGCTGGCTCCTCATCTTTTTAATCTCAGCTGAAATGTCACCTCTTCAGAGATAATTTATTATTCATGGAAGTTTTCAACAGTATACAAAATAACAAGAATTGTGCAATGAACCTACTTTCAATCATTCTCAACCTGCTCCAACGTGCTTTCCTTGGTACCCTTACCACAGAGTATTTTGAAGCAAATCCCTGGCCTTGCATCATTTCATGATCCTCCAGACCAGAAATTGTGGCTCTACAAGAGAGGGAAGTCACGCATAATGAAGCGGCTGTCCCTTCCCTCTGGTCCCCTCACCTCCTCTGGTCATGGACATCACAGCACAGTGCACTCTTTATCATCTGTTTTGTCCTGTTTATTTTATTTTTTTTAAATTTTGTTTTCTGTGTCCCATGCAATCTCTAAATGTGAGTCCCTTGAGAGCAGGGACTCTGCCTGCCTGTTCCTGTTACACAGCAGAGCACTGCACAGGGCCTGGGTGTGATGGGTACTCACAGGGGTCTCTGCAAGAGGAAAGCAGAGCCCAGATGCTGGTCCTGGGCCACAGGGTCAACTCTGCGTGCTGAGGACACACATGGGGAGAGACAGTGGTCAGATGTGTGCATCGACATTCTTCCCATGTCATTTCCTTTTAAATGAACATCCAATCAGTATGGACAAGACTTCCAAAACTTGCCCTGGACCAAAGACAGAAAAACCTGGCAGGAGGCCCTATAGGGTAGGAGGCCAGGGGGTCAGGGTTGGGCATAGTGAGGTATACAGAATGTGGATGTCCCCCTCCTCCGCCACCCTGCTGGGGCTGCACGTGTCTGCCACTGGGGCTAAGGGCACTTTCCCCACCTTCTATCATTGGTGGCCCCAAAGGTATTCAGGGATCTGCAGTGTTCTAGGGTCTGTGAGGAGGGCAGGATGCAGGAGATAATTGCCCGAGGAATGGTACCTTTGCTCCAGGTTGCCTCTCAGAGTTAAGCCAACAGACTCTGTAAATACAGAAGAGCCAGGATGGTGACACCAAGCAGTGGTCCCTGGTCATTTAGGACACGGTCACAATGGCATGAGACCCCATGCAGGGCCCCTCACTGCCTGATCCACTTACCCTTTGGTCATCATTGCTGAGTTGACCTGCAAGTGTTTGGAGAATGACCTCTCATGACCCATGCTGTCCACTGGCCAAGGGCAAGAACTGCATCTCTCCGGGCTGGGTCTCGCCATCTGCGTTTTCTGTGCTTTAGGGAGTACTTTATTGAAGTCAGCTTGAACAACGGCAAAACATTCTTCAAGAGCAATGTCAGCGTCACCAGCAGCACATGTGTGAGTAGCAGGATGGGGCTGCAAACACGTGTGAGGACTGTCCAGAGCCTCTGCACTAGAAGGAGATATACCCTGGGGAGGACAGAAAGGGCAGGCAGTTCCCAGGCAGTCCCAGAAAGTAGTGTGTGCAGCAGGCAACTGAGGCTGCTCCAACCAGGCTTCCAGATGGTGCAGGTGGGTGAAGCTAGGAGGCTGTCTGCCAGGAGCCAGAGTCCAGCACCTCCTGGGTGTCCAGCTTCTCCACATGGACCTCCCAGGCCCAGGAGTTCTGGAGGATTCCACACACTGCCGTCAGGGTGTGTGTGTGCCACTGAACTGGGGCCCCAGCTGCTGATCTGGTCCTAAACCCACTCATGACCCTGGCCCCCGAGCCTGCCTGGTTGTAACCTGCTGTCATTGCCCAGATGCCTTGAACCTTTCTGCCTCTGCTCCTTGCTTGAGTCCCTGAGATGTCCCTCTCCGCTCCCTCGCTGAGTTCTGCATTTCGTCCCCTCCTGTTGGCTGAAGGGGAGGCTCTCGGGCACTGGGACCTGGGCTCAGCTCCAAGAGGCCCCTGGGAATGGAGATGCTGTATCCTAGGAGTCTGCCCTTCAGAGCTCCACATCTTTGGGCAGCTTGGCCCAGGGCCACATAGGCAGAAGGATGTGCTGGAGGGACGCGCGGGAGGCCTGAGCCCACTCCACTGCCTTGTACCCAGTCTTATATGTGAGGACACACCAGTGTTGACAGTCCTCCCTCTGGGTCTCCCCTTGCCTGTCCCTGCATATCCACGCATGGATTAGCAGGCTGAACACACACATTCCCCATCAGGAATCCACCCACTAGAGGCTCCACGGTGACAGGCATATCAGGAGCAGCCCTGGGGCTCCAGCCTCACCAGCGGCCTTCATGCTCAGCCTCAGTGGTTCCTCTCCTTCAGCCAGCTGGGTTCTCAGCACAGGCCCCCTCTCCTCCTCTCCCCTTCCCTCCCTGCCCTCCCCTGCCCTCCCCATCTTTCTCTCTAAACAGAGCTCTGGGTTTGGGGAAGGCCTGGGCAGCTTGTATTCGCATGGATGTCGCCCAAGTTCCCTTCATTGTGAAGAACACCCAGAGAAGAGTTCCTGTTGCTTACACCCCATGTGGCCTGGTTCTGAGCCAGGACTTTGTCTGAGCTCTCTAAACCTCACAAGTGCCCCCAGGGAGGGAGGCCCATTCTCTTCACAGAGGTGTGGAGGCTGAGGCTCAGAGCGGTGTGTGGATGTGCCCACGGTGCAGAGCCTGGAAGTGGGGATATAGGCTGTTGGGGATGGACCTGGGTTTCCTGTCCTTGCTCCTGCACCTGCACCTCTCTTGGCCACAGCACCCCCACCCTTGCCCATCATTGTACCTGGAGATTTTGAGGTCCTCCCAGAAGCCTTGTGCTGCAGGCAAGGTGTGCAGTGAGGGGGGTTGTCAGACAGAGTGAGCTTCCAGGACTTTCTTGACAGGGCTCTTGGGCAGAGACTTTCAGCGGGTCCAGAGGAGGGATTTGTAGTTCCCTTGGGAGCATCCCTTATCCCCAACCCCACTATTGTGCCTTGAGGTGGGACCACCTGTAGAGAAGGGGGAGTGGGCAGATGGGCCCCCAATTGGTGGGCACCAGGATGAGGCTACCCAGGCCCTCCCAGGTCTGGCATTCCTCTGTCTCTTAGACGTGGTTCATGGTGCTGTCTTTCTCCAGCAGGGCATTTTTCGCAACTGGCTCTATTTTGTGCCACCCCTGCTGCTTGCACCACTGCTACTGTGTTGTGTCTGGTGGCTGTGCTGCAAGAAGGCAAGTGATTTTTCCCCACCCAGCCCTGGGGCCCAGGTACAGGCCCGTCCTCTGAGGGACTCTAACATGTGACTGCCCCATGATCCCGCCTGTGGGAAGTTTCCCTCAGCTCCTGGCTCATCACGTGAGCCCAGGGAGTGGCAGACCTGTCCACACGTTCCCGGAGCCTAGCAAGCCTGGGCTTCTGCAGGGCCTCCTGCCCCGGGCTGGCCACATGGAGCTGGCCTGGGATGCCCTGGATAAGGGGGTGAGGCCTGCCCTGGCTCCTAGAGAAAAGTGACCCCAGAACCCCTGAAACCAGGGCTGCCTCAACAATCGGGACTTCTGGAAGCCTCAGATGGACAAGGGCCAGGAGGCAGCCTCTGTGTGGAGGGAGGAAGAGAGGGTCCCCCCTGAGGTCCTGATGGCCCAAATGGAGGACGGTGCTGTAATCCCCAGCTGTCTGTGCCTTGGGAAACCAGCATGGATCTCGGTACATGTCTGGTGCCTTCCCCATTCCTTCATCTGTCTTTACTGAGCTCCAGCTTCCCCTGGGCCCCATGCTGGGCTGGGGAGGGACAGAAATGAGGCTCCCCACGGGCAGCTCACAGTCCTGGTTTGTCGGGGCTGAGAGTGAAATGTCAACCCCACAGGAGTGGGAAGGGCCCCCTATAAGGCAGAGCAGGAGACAAAAGCAGAGATGGAGCCCAGGGCAGGGAGAGTGTCAGGGGCGCTGGGAGCTGGGGCGGAAAACGCCAGCCCAGAGAGCTGCAGACAGAGGACAGAGCAGAGGGAGGAGAGGACAGAGCTCAGCCCCGTCCCCAGGCTCCAGATGCGGATGTGGCTCCGTTTGGCTTCTCTGGATCCCTGTCTCCTGGCAGGGATGAGGGGTTGGCTGGGGTTAGCTTCTAGGGACTGCAGGGCTGAGGGGTGAAGGAGTCCTGGCGGGCACCAAGCTGGGAGGGACACCAGCCCAGTGAACACAGGGACCAGGAGTCTGGGAGCAGGCTGTGGCTCACCTGGGCTGGGGACCCACCCCAGGGGCCATATGCAGTGGTGAGTAACTGAGGCAGGAGGCCCTGGGCCTGAGACAGGGTGGGAACAGGCCTCCCTGGTCAAGGATGGCCTCTGCGGTGCTATGTAGTGGGCCCAGGGAGGCTGCATCTGCAACCAGGTGGATGCAGACAGTCATCTGCAAATGCTGGAACCATTGCACAGCCCCCAGGACAGGCTTCCTCCAACAAGGCTGGCCTCGGGAGAACCAAGGTGACTGGGACGAAGTCGTTAGTATTTAGGGGAAGAGGCATGTCTGCAAACCAGGAAGTTTGCGTGTTTCTTACGTGAAGGATGGTTCCCTGTGGTGTGGGCTCCTCACTAGTCCTTTCACTTCCCAGACACACATCTGGGAGTGGCCAGCACTGTGCCCGGTGCTGAGGCAGTGACACCATACCCTTGCTCTTAAGAGTTGTCTGAAAAGTCAGCAAACCATTGTTGTTGTTGTTTTTTTTTTTTTTGGTGCTAGAGCAGGAGATACCACCATTTCCACCACCACAACTTCTGCATCCACTGCCTCCGCTCCCGGCTCCTGTAAACACCTGCCCCACTGTGATTGTTGCTGTGGGTGTCAAGGAGTGTGCGGGATGAGAGGGGTAGAGGTGAGAAGCACAGTGGAGAGGGGCTGCAATCCCCAGACTAGGACTACGGGAGGAGGAGCAGCTGGGTCCCACTGCAGAGACCAGGCCCTTCCTGGAGGAAGGCAGACTCTATGGAGGATGGACTTTGGTCACCTGGTGCCCAGAGAAACCAGAGGTCCACCTCATGCTAGTGCCCCAGTGGCAGGCATATGTGAGGGCTCCTGTCCCCTGCACTACCAGGTCTGTCCCCACACATTGAACTCCCTCCCTAGAAGGATCCGTTTCTGTACAGTGGCAGCTTTTGATGTCTGACTGGTTCCTGGTTCCCACAGGGGTGCCTCAGCTCTGGCAGTGGCCTCGGCTTTAAACCACCTGCCTGCAGGTGCATGGGTCAAGCAACCTGAGTCACAAAAGGTCATGTAGATCAGAAAAAAAAAATAGAATTGACCAGTCCTGACACGCATTCTCACCACCACGAACACTGCAAGGATGCCAGGGGCACCTGTCAGCTCGGGCAGCAGGATCTTCAGGCAGTGAGGAAAAGCTGTCCCTGAGTGGGCTTGTCGCCTGCTGAAATGGGCTGACAGGCGCTGCAGGGAGGGGAGGAGGTGGAGACCCGAAAGCGCCCTCACAAGACACCTGTGCAGGAGCTCAAGCCCCGGAGCCAACACGACAACCACTCTCCCTGAGGACACCTCCTTCACGGGCAGATACAGGCCCATCATGCTGAGGGGAACCCAGCCAGGCAGCAGCAGGGGCCCTGCACAGGGGTAGGGAGGGTGCCTGGGTGGCTGGTGTTGAGGTGGAAGGACCGCAGAGTTCCTGCCTGGTCTGCCCCTCTCCCCCTTGGTCCTGGCTCTGTCTGTGGTCGGATCTCTTGCTTCCTCCTGGGAGTGTCAGGTTCCTCTGCAGCCTCAGTGGGTATCTGGGGAAGCCAGGCCTGTCTCTCCCCAGAGTGTGGGGCACAGGGAAGCCGAAACACAGCCTCTAGGGGCAGGAGGTCACCTGCCAGCGGCCTGCACTGCCTTGCAATGCACGGCCCTCATCCCATCCCCACCACGGCCCAGAAAGGCCTGACTGCAGCAACCAGTGGCCAAGGGGCTGCCCGCCGTGGGTCCTGGGCTGCTTTCTGGCCTGTTTTTCTCTGCCTTCCTCTTCTCTCTTCCCTGGTGTCAGGTACCTACCCCCTGAGCAGGGTATGGTCCTGTCACCTGCCTTCCCCTTGTGTGACCCCAGCAGCAAGACTCCTCCTCCCTCCTGCCCAGGCCCCCATTGCTGGGCCCCCAGGCCTAACTCATGCTCCCCTTCAGGACCTCTGCTTGGAACCACAGGCTCCTCCTACCTTTAGACTTTTCCTATGAATCTGCCCCTGGCTTTTCTTCTGTCTACAACCAAAGTACTTTTTGGTCCAGATTCCAAAACTCTCTGTGGCCACAGTGACCACGTCTCCAACATGCAACCCTGCCAGGCCCCTCCTCCAGGGGGAAATGGGAGCTTTCTCTGGGTGTGTTCCTTGGAACAGAGCCATGGAGGGCTGGGGAGTCTGAGAAGGCATCCAGGCTGCATGGCTTCATCGTGGCCACAGTGCTTTTCAGGGCAATCTGGATACCTTTTGTGACCTCTTTCACCCAAGCTGCCGCCAGGTGCCATGGATG